TGTGCTTATAAGAACTGAGTACAAGGATTTATTGTGATTATTCACTTTAGCTATGCGTCTCACTGGTTCATGACTAAAACATGTGTTGTGAGTTTATAAACTAAAGGTTTTAGCCACTAACACTCATTGAGAAGGCCCTGTGACACTCCACCCCATAGTCTTCATAATGATGTTATGATATTATCACATAGTGATGCGTTTTATTCAAGACGTGAGTTGTAATTGAAAAGGTTATATTTTACTGAATATTCTATTTGTATGCAAGTACCATTATTTGTGTCTGAAATTATGAATATTGATTTGGTATCTACATTTCAAATGTATTTTAAAGCCCACTAAATAGGAGCTCGGAGTACAGGAGGGGGTATGGTGTGCTAGCTCTGGTAGGGGGCTCAGGGGTGGGGCAGAGGCTTGAAGTACATGAGGGAGTCTGGGCTGCTGCCTTGGTGCTGGGGTTAGGGATAGGGGTGGGGCCTCTTGCCAGGCAGCACTCATTGTGGGGGCTCCTGGTTCGCAATACAGCAAGGCTATGGCAGGCTTCCTGCCTGCCCCAGACCTATGTAGTTCGTGGAAGAGGCCAATGTGCCCCTATGGCCTCTGAGGCTACGTCTAGACTGCAGGCTTCTTTCGGAAGAAGCTTTTCCGGAAGAGATCTTCTGAAAAAACTTCTTCCGGAACAGAGCATCTACATAGCAGAAGCACAACGAAAAGGTGATCTGCTTTTTTGAAAGAGAGCGTCCAGACTGATTGGACACTATCTCGCATATAAGGCCACCCCGAACCACTTCAGCCAGGGCTTTAGGTCACCAGTTGCTTCCGAGTGCTGATGCCGGAGTCTAGCTGAGACACACGCTTAAAGGGACCCCCCTGGACAGCCATTTCTCTGCTTTTGATGAGTGCTTGTCTACCTCTCTGAGGGACAGCAAAGCTCTTGCAGCGCATGCTGTGGTTGCCCAGCTTTTCTGGATGCCACAGCTTTTGTCTTTGTGCCATGGAGCCGGAGCTGCCTCTGGGCATGCGATGGCCTGACATGGGCAGGCAGCAATTTCTGCAGCATTTTATGCAGGCTGCCTTCCTGGTCCTGCACAAGCTCGACTCAGAGCTCATTCTTGGGACCCTCTCCCTGTGTGCAGAAGCAACACCCGTGCAACTGCAACCCACAGTGGAGCGGTGTTTCTGGAGGCTGGACACTAGTTCTGACTGATGGGACTGGTTGGTTATGGAGTGGCGGGACGACCAGCAGTGGTTCCAAAACTTCCGCATGCAGAAGGCCACCTTTTTGCAGCTCTGTGCCTAGCTCGCCCCTGCCCTCCGACGACGTGACACCCACCTGCAGCCTGCCATCCCACTGGAGAAGCGGGTCGCCATCACTGTCTGGAAACTCACCCATCCCAGTTACTGTTCAGTGGGCAACCAGTTCAGCGTAGGGAGGTCCACCGTTGGGGCCCTCTTCATGGAGGTAAGGCACTCTGGGGCTACAATCCCTGCATGGGGCGGGACGGGGGAGTCCTGGAAAGGGGGACCCTATAGAAATGGGGGTTGGGAGGTGTGTGGGGGGGTGGAAGCCCCATCCTCAGGGGGTTGTGTCATCCTGCCCTCACACAGCCCTGCTGCTGGGGGCGCGGCCTCATAGAGGGTGGCTCCTGGGATGTCTGAGGGAGGGAAGGGTAGGAGAGGGGAGCGGGCACCTCCCAAGGGCTCAGACACTCCCTCTCTCATTCTCTGTTTTGTGTGTTTGTTTGTTTGTTTGTCTCCTTCTGCAGGTGGTGAGGGCCATCAACTCCATCCTGCTGCGCAGGGTCATCCGCCTGGGAGACCTGGACCCTGTCGTCACCAGAATTGCTGCCCTGGGGTTCCCGAACTGTGGTGGAGTGATTGATGGGACCCACATCCCGATCTGAGCACCAGAACACCAAGCAGCCCAGTATATTAATAGGAAAGGCTACTTCTCGACGGTCCTGCAAGCCCTGGTCGACCAACGTGGACAGTTCATGGACATTTCTGCCAGGTGGCTGGGTAGAGCACACGATGCCCGCATCTTCAGGAACTCTAGCTTGTACGGGAAGCTGGAGGCGGGCACATTCAGGTGCTGCTCTCATGGCCGGCTTCCTGCCACAAGGTTGCCCAGGGTTTCTGCAGCTTTAAGAGGGGCCAGGAGACAGGAACTATAGACTTGTGATTACTTTGGACAGAGTGGCCACCAGGGCACCTGTGTTATTTCCTGGAGGCCTCTTCTTTCTAAAGAAAACCCTCTTCCCAGTCCACACACACCTTTTTCTGAAAGAGCTGTTTAGGAAAAGGCTTCTTCCTCATAGCAAGAGGATTAATACTGTTGGAAAAAACCCACTGTTCTTTTAATTTTCTTTCAAAAGAATGCGATTGCACTGTGGATGTAAATGAAGTTTTTTTTTGGAAAAATGGCCATTTTTATGAAAAAGCTCTGTAGTGTAGACATAGCCTTTGGGGAAAGGGGACAAGTGTCTCCAGCACTAACGTTTCAGCTTGCACTGGCCACAGTTCCCCATTCCTGGTCAATAGGAATGGCAGGGGCTGTGCTTGCAGGCATGAACAGTGTGCTAAGACCCATGTCCCCCAAACAAATAGGAACATGGTGGTCACTTCTGGGAGCGGCATGGGGCCTGAACAGGCAGACAGCAAGCCTATGTTAGTGTAAGCCTTGCTGCATCACTGGAAACCACAATTGACTAGAAGAGTACCTAGGATCAACCAGTTCATCCTGATTGACTGGTGATGATTTAGGAGAAGCAGTAGGAGAAGCTACTACCTGGGGAGCCTTCCCGAGAATGCTACAGACAACATCCAAATATTGGCTGCTATGACTCTACAAAGAGAGGTACTGAGATGTGATCACATCTCCAGCCTCCATCTTGGGATGTCAGTGTTTTTCCACAGAATGGTCTAGGGAACAAGCTTTGAAACAAAGGGTTTCTGCCATGTGAAAAAAGCTATATGAGGCAGGGAGTGACATAATTTGATGTTCTTTGCTCCCCATGCAAGAGGACTCCTGGAAACAACTGAGGAACAAAGACTGAACTGCGGGAAAGTACTGGACCTAGGCTAAAGGGATTTTTAGCCTGTGAATGGTACACCTGGGGATTCCATGCTGTAAACAAGTGCAGCTGGTCCCTTAAGAATCTGCAGCCTGCTTGTATCATCTATTTGGATACGAATAGCAGATTCTCATCCTATCTGTTGAGTATATTAAACCTAATTTCCATGTTTTGTTTATTTGCTAAATACTCTGCTTTGATTTGCTTGCTATCCCTTATCACTTAAAATCTATCTCTTGAAGTTAATAAACTTGTTTTTGCTTTATCTGAATCAGTGTGAGAGAATCATAAGGTGGGGGCAAAAGACTATTGCACCTTTCTCTCCACACTGAAGGAGGGGGTAAAATTTATGAGTTTACACAGTACAGTTCCTTATGTAGCAGCAAGATAGGAGAAAGACATGACAACTGTTTCCAGGAGTTGCTGCAGGTATGCAGTCCCCAGCCCCTCACATCCTCCTGCACCCCAACCCTTTCCTTCTGCACTCTAAGCTCCCCACCCCTACCCCAGAGCCTGCACACCTGGCTCCCGGGTGGCTGAAAGTGGGGATAGGTAGGGTTGCCAAACGTCTGGTTTTGAACTAGACAGTCCAGTATTTGAGCGTTCTGTTCGGGAAACAAATTGAGAAAATAGAAATGTCTGGTATTTTCTAAATAAGATGCAATGTAGATTGTGATGGAATGTCAAGCGTGTCTGGTATTTTTGTTGAAATCATCTGGCAACCTAGGGGTAGGCCCAGGGAGAAGGGATGGAGTGAGCAGGGACAGGAGCCTGGGCAAGATGCCGGGGTTTGTGTGGGGTTAGAAAGTTACCCACACAGGGTGTGGGAGGGTGCAGGGTCCCGGGGCTGGCGGCTGCAGGGAGCGAGAGCAGCAGACGCGCGTGGGTGGAAGCGGAGGCGCTAGCGGGGGGGCAGGAGGCAGCGGGTCGGGCTGACACAGGGCGAGCAGACACCAGACAGCCGCGTCCCCCGGGAAAGCCCCGCCCGCCCGGGAGCTGCGGCGGGTGGGGAAAGCAGCGCGCGTGCTCGGACTAGAGTCTTTCCCTCTCCACGTTGGCTGGAGGGGGTGGGAGGGGGAAGTGTTTTCATTTGCATATCGCCG